GACTGACCCGCCGGACCGCACTTGTTCCGCGGCGAGGCTTTTCCGCGCCTGGTGCCAGCACTTCCCAGCGCCGGGAGCCCGTCCCTTCTCCTCGTGGAAAACGTTCGGAGAGGCCGCGCCAGGCCCGGGCACCCCCGCGCAGCCCGTCCCCTCAGAGGGCCCAGCCCTGACGGGGAGCCTTGTCCTCATCGCTCGGGGCCTTCGGCTACGCAGTCATTTATGAGGAAACAACCTGTTGACTATATAGCCGACCACTAATACTATTTCGAAAAATAACTTAAGATGAATGTACAAATTAACTATTGCAGTGAGGCTGTTTCTTCACGGAAGTTGGTGTAGCCGTGGTTCTCTGTAAACTACCATATCAGGGTACAAACTGTTTGCTCTGTGTGGCCATTAGGAAATGCTTCCCCCACCCCCCATTATTTTTTGCCGGGTCTCAATATTTCGTCACAAATCTTGAGATGTTTGGTACAGAGTTTTTAGAAAGAGCTGTTTGTGGGACAATCCCGGATTACATTAAAACAAAAAGTCAAACTAAAGGTTTTGTACCTGTGGAGGAAAAATTGAAAATGTGATCCCAATGTTCCTAAAAGATCCCAAACCCAGAAGAATATTAAAAAGTATTCAAATCATCTTCTGTATTTTCTGTTTTGATCTGGCGATACCGGTTTCAAAAATACGTTTTGAGGCGGTAGCGCATTACTTGATCGCACTTTAATTTTTTCAGGTTAGTGTAAGTCCCTTGGAGTCTGTCACTGAAACTATTGCAGTGAAGCCTGATAAGGAATTTAAGAGCCAAAAAACTATGCATGTCTCCATAACTAGAAAATTTTCACTATGCTTTACTACCCCTGTCTCCCTCCCCTATAACTGACCCCATGAGTAGGCCAGTAACTAACTTAACAATTAGGAGTACATGCAAATTCTCATTCTACCCTGTGACTTTTTGTTGTTCTGTTCTGGAAAAGTCACTCTGGTTTTCTGCAGCAATCAATTTACTAGGTGGAAAATAATGAATATTGCTTCCCCTAAATTCCAGTATCATTTGGATATCTGCAACTACCTCCTCTTCCAGCAACTGTCTTCAGCACTCACCACTGACCACTGAACTAGATGATCTATTATTCTCATTCTTATAAAATCCCTCGTAAACATTTCATTTGCTTAGATTCTGTATAAAGTTCATCATGCCAAATGCTATTCTTTACTTTTTTGCTTTCACCATTATTGTGTTTTTTGGTTTTTTTTTTTTAAAGTATCTGGTTGTAGCATTCTTTACCAATTGTATGTGTTAAAGAAGTACTGTGCTTTAAAGTAACATCGAGGACCTCAGAGGTTTAGAATTGCTTATATCCATCTCTATAAATCCAGTGCATTTTTATATATTTACTTCATATATATATCATTCCTGTGGATTCTGGCATGTTTAGTAGGCTTTGCACCATTGGGGGGTGGGATTATAGTTGGTTTCTCTCATTTGCCACTGCCTTCACTCCTGTTTGTTGCCACATTGTATGGGGGATTTTTTTGTCTTCTTTTCCCCCCTTATAAATCTAAATACATCTCGTCCAGTTTTGTATTGGTAGAAGTACTGATCCTTCTACTTCTTAGCAATCAGTAGAAAATCTGTCTTTCCATCTGACTTACCTATCTCGCTGCCTGTCTTGCTTACCTCCTTTGCCTTTATAGTAATGCCATCTTCGAACCTGTGTTTCTCACCTCTTTTGTAATATTCCTGTTTTCTCCTTCTTTCGTGACACCTACCAGAATCCGCCTGATTAAGTGAGCTAATAATCATTCGGTTTATCCTCTGAGTTAGATGCTCTTCCATATAAGGGAGACTGAAGAGCGCATGTTGAGTGTGTTTATAGCAGAAAAGACGCTGGAACGGAGTTTGCAAATCGTGGTGAAATAATAGATGTGACTTTATAGAGCAAAACTCTGGTCCCCCTGAAACCATCGATAAAAGTGATAATCAATCAATCAGGATTTTACCTAGAGCATTTAATTTTAGAAGGGAAAAAAAGATACCAACAATCAGCGTGTTACTGATAAAATGCTACAGCATCCTCTTGCTCATTTGTTTGTTCAGCGTGGTATTCCACTTTCCTCTTCATGTAGCTTTGCCTTTTTATACTATTGGTTGATTTTTAGTACACTTTTGGATGCCTTGTAAAATGTCTACCACATTTTGGACATTGTGATAGTGTAAACAATGACTCGGTCATCTGTTTTCTGTGTTGCTAGAGTATGTCTTTACTTTGTCTTTCTCATGTTTTAGAAGGCCAGAAAAAAATCGTTGCCAAAAACACCCCCTTGTCCTTAGGACCTGTCAACTTGCTGCTGAAGTCCTGCACCAGGTATTTCAGAAGGCGGCTAAAATGTCCATTAATAGACAACTAAAACACCTCCAGCAAAACCCTCCACATTCGGTTGTTATATTATGAAATATGAGGGCTTATATCCTCTCCATTTTATTCTAACCAAAATTTAAGTGTAGGTGTTACTATTAGCTGTACAAATGTTCCATACTTTTTAAATCCTAGTAATCTTATTGCTGCAATAATATTTTTTTGTCTGAAATAATTTCCTTTGATCATTGATATATTTAGATGTTTCACTTTCATTGGTTGTTTCCTTTTTATTTCAAGAACAGCTAATAAATAATAGTCTCTGTAGTTCAGCAGCAGTATGAGTAGTCAGTGGTGTATGCTTAGTGAAAGATTGTAGGAATTGGGAAGCACACAAAGATATTTTCTGCAGTACATTGTCCCAAATTGAGTCCCTGGAG